AGCAGGAACTGGCTTATTGTTTATTTTTAATTTCCAATTATTTTCCTTTATTTGGTTCACAATTGCATTCTTCACAATGTAAAAGCAGGGATTTGTAGGTGGTGTGGTGGTTGAGGTACTGGACTTTCACATGATTGACCATAGTCCCAGTTCTGACCAGCCTCCTTAAAAATCATGCCAGGTGTGCTGTGCATTTGTGCTCAAAATCTCAAGAGGAGAATGGAGAAGGGAATGCGGTGTGGCCATTTTCCCTGGGGGAGAGGGGTGATTTCTCACTTTCCCTTTCTCTGTCTCTCTCTGGCAAGCACACATACACTATGATTAAAAAAAAAAAAAAAAAAAAGGTAGTCTTTTTTAAAAAAAGTGAAAAAGCATGTGGTTCTACCTTTGCAAACTCTCATGTCTTTTCCTTAATAGAAAAGTGTAACTAAGCAGTGTTTACGTTACTTGTCTTTGTTTCAAAACCCTGTGCAATTTCTGTATGTTATGAAAGTTCATTTTCCTCATTTTAGGCACTAATACTAATAGACCTAAAGTAAAGTGCTATTCCTTTTGGCAGCGCACAGATTTCAGATCCTACTGTAGCTGTCTTGTGCCTTTCTGTGACCCAGGTGGGCACAAAGCCGGTCCTGTATCGTCGTTACACAGCACAGCTTATGTACTAAATGACGGCCGACATGATCTATCTTAGCATTCTGATGCTTCTAAACTCTGTTTAATTACAAGTAGTTAAGATTAGATTTCATGAAACCAGACTGAGTCTTACACATTTATGAATAAAAATGAATCGCATTCCTTTCATTTCATAGCTTTCTTTTAAGGTTTGATGTTTTGGTTGATTTGGGGTTTTATTTCAAGTAAATGATCAATGACTTTTTTCAGAAGGGAGTTTTTAATTAATATCAACTTTTATCTCTTAAAAGGATCCTTCCCAGCTATTGGGGTAGAAGCATTTTGCCCCAGCTTCCTGAGGGCAGGATTTTTAAATAGCATCCAGGCCCCACATCCAGTACCAGGAGGAGGATCTTTGCCCCCAAGGATTCCGGCTGGTAGGTATTTCAGGTGAAGTTTTCTGTCATCATATATGACAATGCTCACCATCAATAGGCCCACAAAACAAAAATGAATATTTGTGAAGTATATTATTGACAAGAAATGTGATTTTTTTGTAATGCAGCAATGACATTTGTGATACTCAATGCTAAAAAACATCATGAAAGAGATGGAAGTAAAAGATCTGGATCCTGAGGACCTAAGTAGCATAGTGCTTCTCTCAGAAAATGTTATATAAGTAAGAACTAGAGCTTCAGATTCCAAATTCAAAACTAAGACCAAAGTAAGGATGGATCCAAGTGAGTGTGACACTTGGAATTGGTCAGTAGAGACCATTAAAAACTAAGCATTCTTGGAACCAGTAGATGACACAATGGTTATGTTGCTGGACTCCCATGGAGTCAACTATGGCTCAAGTCCCAGATCCAGCGACTTGAAACTCATGCCGGGTGCATATGCATACATACCCAAAATCCCAGGAGGAGAATAGAGAAGGTATTGTGGCATGGCCATCGGCCCAGAGGGGGATTTTTCACTTTGCCTCTCATTTTTCACTTTGTCTCTCTCTGTCTCTCTCTGGTGTGCACACACACCCTATAGCACAGACATCTCAAAAAAAAATTAAACATTCTTGATAGAATGAGTTATTCAATATTTAGATGAATTTATAGAGTTTTATTTAAAGTTCCATTTCACTAAAGAAAAATTGAAGAAAATTCAGAAAGTAGAGCATTTGGAAGAAATTTTTGAGAAAGAAAATGGATGTACAATCCTCCCTATAAATACCAATGTGACCAAAGCCATATTTTATCAATGAGAAAAAATATAGGAAATTGAGCATTTTAAAATGCACTTTCAAAGTAAAGCAGTTTGTGGATTATCTCTGATACTGTCCTCATGAATTGCTTCTTCCTGTCATTTAGTAAAATATACAGCCACTTTTCTTCATCATCCTTGAAGGACGCAAACCCACTCTATTTAGAAATACAATATTGATTCTTGGGGGCTTTAATCACAATTATTTCATCTTTATCATAATTAATAGTAATGTTACAAGTTATGGTATTGTATTCAAGGAGGTTAGCCCAGCCAGCAATGTATTGGGAACAATGGAAAAGCCAGTGAAATCCAATAAAGCTAAATTCCCAACCTGTACATTTCCCACTGTTCTTAGCAAAATTACACCGAGAACACCTGAAATTATTGCATAAATTTATCTTTTCCTTTTAATTTTCCTTATCTACCTAAAATATTAATAAGTCAGCAAACCATAAATATGTTTTGTTATCATTTGGTTTTATCACAGGATAACTTACCAACATAGTTGGAGGCTTTATGGTCAACAATGCCACTGATAGACTAGAAACCAAAGTTATAAATTAAAAGATCAGTATATTCTACTGGGTATCATGGCACTTTTTCTCTCCTAGAAACAGAAATAGTATCACTTGCATAGAAATGTTGTTTTCATTGCTGCAAAATATTGGAAAGAAAAATCTGGATAAGCAAATTTCTCAGAGTTAATGGCAAATATTAAAATTTAGCTGTTATATATATAATTAATATCTCAGTGATGGGAACTGGGGAGATGAACAGATGATTGGGACTTTAATGGCTTAACCCGTAACTATTAATGATAAATCTTGGTGAATTTAGATAGGCTTAGCAGAAGTGACATTATAAAGTTTAGTAGTAATTTGAATTATTCAACATCACTGGTGGAAAAAATAACCCTTGTCATTTAGCCACTGAGGATGATAGAAGCTAGATAATCTTTCTATAACACAACCACTGAAACAACTTTCCAAAGAGGAAGCTGAGAGAACACTCTAGCACTCTATTCTTCTAGGCTTTAAGCCAAATTTGCCTCCAGCTTTCAGAGAGAAAACTTAGTTCAATTTTTATTACTTACATACAAATCAGGTGTCACTAAATTGCTTCATAAAAAATGCATAGATCTAAACTTGTTCCTGTTCCCTCAAACTGAAATTAACTCAGCTCACTTCTCCTGGCTTATATCACTTTGATAAGGGATCTCTGTATACTTCCTCCGGTACTTTTCAGTAATATCTGTTAGAATTTCAAAGGTAATATTGATCCTCTCCAGCTGCAGCTTATTTCCCTGGAATTTTCTTTATAATTTTGTGTTAAGAAAAATGAAACAGTATGGGACCAGCAGTTAGCGTAATGGCTATGTCACTGGATTCCCATGTAGTCGACCGTGGTTCGAGCCCCGGACCCAGTGGCTTAAACTCATGCTAGGCACATGTGCATGTGTGCCCAAGATCCCGAGAGGAGAAAGGAGGAGAAGGGATTGCGGAGTGGCCATCCCCTCTGGGGGGTGATTTCTCACTTTCTGTCTCTCTATCCTCTCTCTGTCTTTCTGGTGAGAACATGTGCCCTATAGCAAAAAAAAAAAAAAAAAAAAAAAAAAAAAGAAAAAAAGAAAGAAAAA